GCGCACGCCTGTAATCCCAGCACTTGGGAGGCTGAGGCAGGAGGATCGTTGCTAGTTCCAGACAAGCCTGAGCTACAAAGTGAGCTCAAGGCCAGCCTGAACTGCATAGTGAGACCCTGTCTGAAAAAAGACAAAAAAAAAAGTATAACATCCTCCTATTTTCACATCAGTAGCAGATAGTGTTCCTTGGCAGTTCTGCTATCAAATACTTACTAAATAGACCTATTGAGATCATGAGCAAAAATGAGAGCAAAAAATCTATGTTGGCCATGAGATTAATAGTTTAAGGTAGCTGCATTAGATATTTAATTTTGTAAATCAGAGTTGTTCTTATTGTAATGTTAAATGGTAGAAAATATCAGATTAAATAGGTCTGGCGCATCATGGCATCAAATGCAAGTACTCCTTGTTAAACCATTAATGATTTCTAGGAAGAAACATTAGAAAAATTGTTATTCCATACAATGTTTGGCAATTCTCCAAGATGAAATCAAGATAGGATATTTTTATACCTATGATTAACAGGATTGTTTTAGCTTTTGTTATAAACAATGTGACCAAGAGAAAAAAAACTGGAAAGAAAAAAATCACTACAACAATACAAACACCATCTGCAAATAGGATTAATCTCCTCTCTTTGTTAGTCAGATTAGAGGCTTTCAACTATTTTTGTCCATTTAGAGTGGATTTATATAGAATTCATTTTTATCTCCCACCTGAGTAAGATTAATCCATCTCTGAGTAGGATATATAACTTTATCTGTATTCTAGATAATAAAAATAGTTTCATTCAATGTAGTCTTGATATTTTATTAAAATATTTTTCAAATATATGAAAAAAATCTCCATGTTTTATAGAAAAAATATTTATCTAAAAATCAAAGAACATGTCAGCTCATTTAAGAGGTTATGATTCCAGTGCTTTTGATGGTAAATATGAGACCATGCTACCGAAGTTCTTCTACTCCATGGATCATCATGTCTTCATACTCAAAAATCTTTGTAGTAATTTCATGGGAGAAGGACATATTTTGCATAGGATACCAGCTAATTGCTCCCACAGTTCCTTAAAGCCCCCCATGCTTATTGTCCCTGGGATTCTGTTATGTACATGGATATGGTAAATGGTTTTCACTGCCACAGGCTCAGGACAATAGAGCTCCCAGAAGGTGGATCTGGAGAGTCCATCAGAGCTTTGTTCCCATTGGATGAGGCAACACAGAGACAAGGACACTGCCAATCTCAGGAGGATATAAACAATAGGGAGAAAAGAATGTCCCACAAACACACAATGAGCTGTGCTTCTACGGAAATTGCAGACATACTTGTTGTTTCCTACATACTTTAAAGATAGGAAATCTAAAAACTTGCACGAGCAGCTCCTAAAGCTCCAGTCCCACAACTACTGAATCAGTGTTTCTGGACATCACCCTGGGCTTGCATTTGTGACATTTCCATGCAGCTCTGGTGAACAGCTTCTGTTCAGATGGATTTTGCTCATGATAAGTAATGCATGGTTGCTGATGGCAGGGCCATGTGCTGGTTTATAGCAGCTTGCACGATTGATCATTGTACAGTTATACTGTAACAGCTGATAGAAATATAGTCAGTTGCATTACATGTAGATGTTCTCCTTCCTTAGAAACTTAAAGAAGATGTCAAGGGCTTTTGCTCTTCATTTCTGGGCCTGTTGAGCAGCTGTCAGGCCCAATACCAGGGACACCTTTCTGATATGGCAGCTGCTGTGCAAAGAGCGCAGCTTGGCACTGAAAGTCAGTCTGCAAGGTGAGACATCTCCACCTGGATGTGAGCTGGTGCATGCTTGGGAGGAGTCTAGCAAATGACCGCTTAAGTCATTTCTTTGGACCCTTTGCTGATTCCTGACAGTGTCAAGAATACATCCCACGTCACTCACAGCAGTGACTCAGTGCCAGCTGTTTCCTCGTGTCTGGCTACCTCTGCCTCTTCTCCCTTTCAGCCCACCCTGCCTCAGGGTCTCCTCTTTCTCTTTTGACTTTGCCGTTTAGGGCCAAACTGGCACTTTTTATGCCCATTTTCCCCAAACAGGGCCAAGGTGTCCTGCTGGCTCCTTTCTTTCTTCCTGTCCTAGAATCCACAGTCGAGGCCACTCTTTGGCTACAATGGCTTTGTTATCTCAAACTACTGGACTTGCACTGTGGTAGTGCTTCAGTGCTGTGGCAGACTCCTCAATACTGCTGCATGTGTCTAGATCACACTTGTGGCAGCCATATTGCATGGTGTCCACCCCTGAGACAGGTCACAAGCCAGGAATATGGGAAGTCATCATCCTGTGTTTTCACAGATACGTGTATCAAAACATGTAGACTTCTATTGCTGTCCTGTCAGGCTAAAAGATGTTTACGATAACCCAAGTGATCTGGACTCCCTCAGTGGCCTCCATAATGCATTCACTTGTGTGACTTCCCACAGCATCTCGGGATGTGACTGCTGTGTTTGTAGGTGTGTGCACATATATGTATGCATGCTGTGTATAGTACGTGTGTGGTATTTGTGGAAGGAGGGAGGTGTTAGTGTGTATAGTGTTGCATATACAGGAAGGTTGTATGCATGTGTTTGTGTGCTATGCATAGTGTGTGTTGTATGTATGGTATGTGCATTGTGCATGAGGGGTGTGTATGTGTGTGGTCTCCCAGATTGAGTACACCCACCACTGTATGGCAGTGTCACAGGGAAGAGGGAGGAGAGCAGCTACAGCTTTTCCCTAAGGATATGCTGCCCTATGTGACATTTCTGCAGCCCTAGACACCATCCAGGGGTCACTGCCCACACTGACTCTAGGAAATATGGCTGAGAAAAAGATGTCCCTTGGTGTTTGTTCATGATAACTGTCCTTTTTGAGGGCCACAGGATGTCCTGGATAACAGCCTCCTCAGGGTGTCTTCATCTCTTTAGCTGATCCTCATCAGAGGTGGGTGTCAGACATGGCTGGTGCTAAATTAAGCATTGTATCTGGAAGGTCAGGGGGTAGAGCAGCCAGTGCCGGGACCAAGGAGAGCTGGTAATCAGCCGAGTGGCTGAGTTGGAAGGCTCCACGCAGAGGCTACACTCAGTCAGGGACTCTCCTTCTTGTACCTGTTCTCTCTCTGGGTACCAGTTTCTTTCCTAAGGGAGACAAGCTCTTTAAGGGTGCTGTGTTTCAGGGCCATGAGCATCACATTATGGTGCCCCATCTCGGTTCCTGGAAACCCTGGCCAAGCTGTGCCCTACAGCTAACAGCACAAGTGCAGCCCCAGATGTTTGAGTGACTTTCCTGGGTGCCATTTATCCTCTAGCCACAGCACAACTTTTGCAGTAGCCTGCATGGGACTTCAAGCTATTGGCCAGGCCACCTGCACAGTAACCTGTCTGGGTACCAGGGTGTGCAGACTCGGCTGTGGCTATGTATTAGATCAGTGTTGAGTAGACAGTCTCCAGTCATCCTCACGTTCTGGCTAGGTCATGGATGAATGGGGAAGGAAGTAGAGGCTGCAGGTCACCACTAACAGTACGCAGAACGAGAAGTCAGACCTAGTTTCTCTGTTACCTCAGATACCCACAGAGCAGGCTCCAAGACTGGGGTAGCTTTCTACCATAAGGTGATCGTGGAGCCTGGGCTCCTGAGTGTGTGCCACCACCATTCATCCCTGTGCACACAGGACACCTGTAGCCTCAGATGGTCCAAAGCCTATCCTACAGACTACTTGGGAAGTTCAGCATCTCCTGTAACATCATCTGTGCTTGGAGAAGCTATTCAATGTTCCAGGTTATCTGGCTCTCCTTTCCTGCAATGTTGCTGTGTGTGAGCTTGGGTGAAATTATCCTTTCAGCATGTCGGTCAGAGATCCTCCATCTCCAACTGTCTTTGAAAGAAATGCACATGCGCTACCACCTGCAGAAGCAGCGGAGGAGAGAGCTCCACAACACTCTGGTGGTGAGGGCCCCAGGAAGCCAGCATATCATCATTCTGTCTACAGTAGCAGACAGCATCAGAACAGACGTGCAGTGGCATGAAGACACACCTGAGTGACACTGGACCAAAGTTTCAGAGACCCTCATGAGAGTACAAAGGGGTGGGAGGACAGGTGGGGGGGTCTCAGCATAGTGGGCAGCAGAAACCAGAGTTGAGTGCAAAGACCATTACCTGGGATTGCATGTCCCCCTTCCCTAGCAGGGTGCTGTGGCTAGTAGATTGGGAAGTGGCCAAGGAGAAGGAGGGAGTCACTATGGTGTTGGTGTCAAAAGGCCCCTATGGCTCAGGGCCATGCGGAACATACATCAAGTCCACATCAGCATCTCTGAGATGACCAGTGGGTCTGGATGAGAGGAGTACAATGAAGAGAGGTGGGAGAATATTGGGGTATGAAGGGCCAGGAACCCAGAGCTCTTTCTGGTGGGTTGTGCTGAGTTCTCCACAGTGTGGGGACCTAGCCTCCCCTGTACCCTGTCAGCTCCTTTGCTCCACAGGGAGTCCAACAAGAATCTAAGATCTCTCCCTCACTTTCTTCAAAGGTATAAGATCTGCAGTCTCAGGAAAGGTGAGGCTAAATCCCAGGCCTCCACTTACCAGCACAGCGGTGGAGGGGCACGGTTGGTGTTGATTTGAACAGTCATGCTTCTGGGAGGTGTGGCTTCCTGTGGTTGTACTTTAGCCAGTGTCTCTAGCTCCAGTGACCAAAAGCCCACATTCCTGAGGGGCTCTCTGACCCCGTGAGGAAGTGATCCTTCTGTTCAGTAATAGACATGCATGAGAATAATTCTCAATTTAAGCACATTTTCTTATATGGTCCAGTACTGAAAATATTAATGAAAGACAGTTATTGGGTACTTACTGTGTACCAGGCACTTTTTAAAGCATTTTGGTCATTTATTTAAACTTCAGAGTGGTACTACCTTTCTGGATTGAGAATCTAGTGATGAAAGACAGATGTTAAGTAAAAATTCCCTATAAGCTGTAGATTCATTATGGGGGAAAGGGCAGAATGAAGCTACCTAAAATGGACACCAGTCCACTGCAGAGCACTGACTGCGAAGATTCCAAGAGTGCCGAAATGAGCTTAGGTCTCTTGGTGTCACCTGTCTGTGTCCCCCACATGGACAGTGTGGAGAAAGGCTCACTGGCTCGGCTCCTGTGGGAACACAGAGGACCTCTTGAGAAACTGCCAGGTAACTAGCTAAAGTCACTCACTCAGTTTTCAGAGCGTAGCTGGAGCTTGTTCCCAGCTTGTGGGTGCACACCCTGCTTGCTCCCTCAGCACATTGTGTGTCAAGACTGAGCAAAGGGAGCACGTACAGCTTCTGCCTCCTGTCAGGGTCAGGGATTGCCACACCGGCACCCAGGGATGTCCTCTAGGCTCTCCCCTGGCTCTTTCCAGATGATCGTGTTTCTGAGTTACTTGGAGATGTGAAAAACAGGCTTTTTATATCTGAGAGTGATCAGTTTTGAAAGGGATTGATCAGAGTACTGCACACTATTTTAAGAGACTAGAGCAATAACTGAAGGTGACGTCAGGGTTCAGAAAGTGAGGTGCACAGGAAAGATGGGGGGTGCTGAAGAATATAAGGGCTCCTCAGCAATGGCAATGCTCTGCTAAGCCAAGACCAGTTTCCAGGAGAGATTTACATGGTAAAGTTGACATCATCATTGTGTTGTTACTAGCCAGCCCTCTTGAAAGCTTCTAGAGAAGTATGAGGGATGGACAGCGCCTCTGGCAGGGGTGCCCTTGCCACCAGGCTTCTCTATCCATGTGCTGATACCCAGGTGCAGGCAGTGACGGCCCTGTCTGCAGGGTTGGCACATGTCCTCTGCAGGTGGGATGCTGCTGGGTCTCATATATTTTCTCCCATCTAGCCCTGCCCTCCCCCTTATTGAAAGCTGTCTCTTGTCAGGTGTTCAGTGCAGCTTTCCTCCCCTTCTGATCTTTTCTGTGACTCTGGGTCTGGCTTGGTGTACTTTCAGGTACATGCAGACTTACATATGTGCCAAGGATCCCCCTACCTCCCCAAGTATGTCACCGTGACCTGAGAAAGGAGGAGCCAATGGCTCCCATAGGGTTGGGTCCAGGTCTCTTTGGATGCCAGATGCCTGTGTGCCATGACTTAGATTTTATATGATGGCCCCCAACTTCGTGTCAGCCATCAGCCTCAGAGCTGCTGGGCGTGCGAGGGCTCTTCTGGGCTGTGTGTCTGGAAGGGCAGAAGGGCTGGAGCAGCCTCAGTCCTGTTCAGATCTGCATAGGACCCATGCCAGAGAGAAGCTTCTCACTCCAGACACAACACTCAGAGAAGGGTGAAACCAACCTGGTAGATCTTAGCCATCTAAGGACACTGGTGGGACTTTGCTGTGACAAGGTCTGACGGGAGCTAACGAGACGGCAGCAGCACCCAGGGTTGAGAGTGTTGTCTCCAAGCTCAGGGTTTTGAAAGAGCCATGTGGAAAAATGGTTGGCATCTTTACTGTGGTCCCACATCATAAAGGCATGGGTAGGGGACACCAACATAGTACCCAGGGGCAAGTTCCCTGTCATCAGAGCCACAAGAGGATAGCCTGCAGAAATTTACCTCTCAGGTCTATGGCTGGATTAAACACTGTTTTGAAACATATTCATACCATAATATAAACCTTATTAGTTCCTTCCTTGTACCCTCATATCTGTGGTGACAGCATAGCTGAGTGGTTCTTTGCTTTTGACTGGGCAGCATCACATCTTAGAGCAGCTCTTTGGGGAGGGTCAGAATGACAAGGAACAAGATGAATTATCTAAAATTCTATCTAGAATGTCTAAAACCATTAGTCCAGGATACCATTAATAGGTATTTTTGTTGATAAATATTGCCAGATGATAATCATTTGCCAAGGAATAGATTTGTTACTTTGAATTTTAAAATGCTGGCAGTAAACAACGAGGGACAACCCTACACTTCAGGGATTTCCCCCCAAGTCCAAATGAGTCTAGCACACTAATGATCACATCTGTGGAAAAGGCTACTCCCTGCACATCTTCTGCCAGAGTAGCTTGGAGCTAGGTCTTGCTCCTGTGTTGACAGTTGGAATTTATTTATCCTTGCAGGAGCTGAAAAGAAATATCAGAGTTCACTGTCGAATTCGTCCTTTCTTGCCTTTGGATTGTGAGCTAGATGACCCAATTTCACAGAATGAGTAACTTACTATGGCACTCTTGTGTGACTGTGTGTGGCTGGGGAATTTTTAGGAAAAGGTCCCGTAGATGTAGCACTGGGGAATTTTCATGTCCTCAGTTTTCCAAGCCCTAGGTCCTCATTAAAGCTCCTGGGATCTGGATGAAGGTTCCCCTTCAGGACTGCTCTGTCCCTGTGGAACATGGCTTCAAAGTGGCCAAAGTATCTGCACACACACAGAGCATCCAAGTGTTCTGCTGCACATATCTCCAAGATTTGTCCCTGTCCTGTCTAGGGAAGTGTTACCCTCGAAAGGAGCATCCCTCTTCCTTTTTACCTCCTCCAGATACTCCTAGAGGGACAAGAGGGTGATCAGAATTGACCTGACTCATATTTCTGATCTGGAGAAAGTTTGATGGTGGTCATAAGTAACACACCACTCTCTCCAGTTCATTCATTCAAATGTTTACTTAAAAGGCAGGTTCCACCAGACTCCTGGTTCTTTCCCTGTTAACCCCACCACCGCCTACCTGCTCCTACTCCCAGGGGCGCCCCACCTTCCTCACCTGCCTTTGGTCCCTGCAATGGTTTACTTTGTGTTTAGAGTTTGGTTTCTGTTACTCTTTTGGTCCCCCTTCTTACTCTGTCCAGGTTTTGCTTCTCTTTAAGGCCCCATATTTACACTAGACAATTTAGCATTGATTTTAGACAGTCTTCTGGAAGCCCTTGGTCAGTCCCAGAAAGTGAAACAGTCTCTTTTTGATGGTGATTGAAATTTGCTTTTTTTTCAAAGCATTAGGATTTCCTTTTTGCTAGTGATGGTATGAAATGTACTTTTTTGATTGGTAGCCATTTTTCATTTATCAAAGAACTGAAAATAGGGAACAACTATGTAATATAGTAGTTGATAGTCCTAAAATGGGTTAACTTTTCTTGAACTTGCTTTCAAATGGTCTGTACTGACTCCTTTTGTAACACTGTTAATCTGTGGCTAATAGATGTAAACAGATGCAAACTGAGTAAATCAGAAAGGCCTTTGCTCAGTTGCCCCAGCCACTGGGAACAGTGAGACAAAGTGTTCCCAGTGGCTGTCCTGTCCAGCTCCAAGAGGCTTAGGAGAGGGTTTGTTTTTGTTCTTCTGTGATTCACACTCATTTAGTTTTGTTTTGAAACATGTTGCATTTTTTCACATTCCTGATTGCTTGCAGGAACTTAGGTTCCCGAAGGCACAGACCTTGTAACTTTTCTGTGTCTCCAGTGTTCTAGGCGGGGCTGTACATGTGGGAGCCTTAAATACCATGTAAGTGACTACAGTGAGGACAGAAACATGGGATGGAAAGCAAGGTAATCGGAAAAATTTCAAGAGAAAATAAAGGGGAGAGAGTGTGGTGAGGACTAACGAGCAAAGAAAGGATGAAGCCAGAGGGGCAAAGAATGGGGCTATAGAGAGACAGACACATGGACACAGGACGAGGCCTAGAAACACAATGAATCCCTGTGTAGGGAGACAAAGGAGTGGGACAAGGAATCCGACAAGGAAGCAGTGATAGCATGGGAAAAAGTAAGAGTGTTCTAGAGTTTGGAATGTAGGAATTGAGAAATCACACTGGAGAGAGTCTCATACGTCCTCTACCCCTGCAGCTCCAGCTCCCGAGAAGCGGCCCACACTGTGGACGAGGTGAGTCGTCCTGAGTGTCGTCTTCACAGGAGCTTCCTGCTCAGACTCCTGTTGTTCTCAACCACTTCCGCCGCTGAAAGCAACTCAGAGGTGGAATGAATATGAGGTGATTTCCTTCCTTACACTGTGCTATCTTGGTCAACAAGAATAGCTTTTGCATCTTGATTTCTGCTGGAAAACTAATTCATAAAGCATTGTACTCACTTTGCTCATGAGAAACCAGCATCCTGAGGTCTGTGGGAGGGAGTTACCTCACCTGCATTAATTTTCTAGCCCAAAAGATAAATCTTTTGTCAATTGAGTTCTAAAATTTAGAGCATTTAGAACTATCTTTACAAGCATAAAAGCAATCAAGTTAAGAATGAAGTTTATAATTTTGACTTTGAAATAGGTGGGAATTTGTTTCTCCTTAAAACCATCACACTTAGCTTTATCTACCATAAAGCCTAGAAGTACATACTTGTGTTGGCCCAGAACGCTGCTGTGGTCTCTAAGGAAGGGGTTCTGCTTAAGTGACCCTAGTCTGGGTTGGAAAGTGGACAGGAGGAGCCTGGACCCCTGGTGTGGACAGAGAGAAGCACCAAGCATGATGGCTGTGAACCCAAGATGCAGTGTTCGTCATGAGGGACTCCTGCCCGTGCAGGGGGAAGCACAAGCTCAGCAAGTAACTCAAGCAGATTGGGACATGGAATTATGGTTAAAGCCTTTGAGTTTGTCATTATTTCTTTAAAAATGCTCACTGATGTGCATCCTATAGGAAATATATTTCAGGGAAAATGAGTAGGTTTTGAGGAAAAAGTTTTTTTTTTTTTACAAATGATCCCTGTTGGTAAATTCAGGAGGAATGAGGAAATTGGAAGCCACCCTTTGACTCCTGTGAGGAGTCAAGGTTCCCTGTCAGCAATGGCCGCTGTGGCCCTCTGGGTCCATGAAACTGCCTTGGGAGGGGGCATAAGCGGTCAGGGCTGCCTATGAAGGCCTTCTGTTCTAGTCAGGTGTCCCATTTGTTTTGTTAAAGGAAACAGCCACATTCAGAATGTGGATGCTTTTTAGGACAAAGCATCTGGTTTCTCTAACAAATCAGTAGCATTTTAAAAGGGGGGAGGGGAATGCAAGTGCTGTAGAGAAAGACATGTAAGCCACGTGGTCAGCCACTACAGGGCGTCATTTGGAGCTCAACTTGGACAAGCCAGCTATATAAGTGTGGGATATGGGAGTGTGGTGTGTGCAGTGTTAATGGGGAAAGAACTTCTGTCTCCCCTTCACAGTTGCTAGCAGGGCTGAGCATTAAATTGGCATAGGACAGGTTAGCAGGAGAACAGTACACAGACTTACTTAATATGAGGTTACAGGACACTGTACCTTCGTAAGGAAGTGAAGACATAGGGTGGCGGTAGAACCTCAGAATGATCTTCATACCAAAGCAGCACATTTGAGTAGCCTGTTTTGCTACTGCTGTGGTTTGAATATGGTCTGAGTATGTCCCCAGAGGTTCTCATGCTGGAGGCTTGGTCCCAGGATGGCATATTGAAAGGTGGTGGGACCTTTAAGAGGTGTAGCCTCTGCATGGTGATTAGGTGGCTTCTGGAGGGCCCCTGGTCAGTTTCCCGGACAGCAAGAGTGCAAGCTGCTGTACAACAGGCCAGCGTAGCTAAACAATTAGTATTGCTAATTCTGAATTTAACCTGAAAATCCAGCCCATATGGATTAGATCGTTTTGAAGATATTTTATCTTGTTTATGATCCGTCTTACCCACTTTTTCACAAGGGTCTATTTCATCTGAGTCAATCTATTGTGTACCATGAACTTTAGCAATTTTTTTCAGTTAACAGGGTGCAGACCTTCCTTTTTTTTTTTTTTTTTTTTTTTTTTTTACAAACAGGCTAAGAAAATTATTCAGCTATATTTTAAAATTCCACTGACAGTGTCTCTGGAAATAAACACTTCAAAAATTTCATTTTAGGGTATTTTTTTTTATTGGATATATGTTGCCTTAAGCACCAGTATTGTTGATGGAAGCAAAGCAAAAAGAGACAAATGAAATCCTCCTTAGAACAGACTTCTGGCTTTGTCGCTTGCTATTCTCCAGATTAGCGACTTTGACAGTTACTGACTTGAATTCCTGAGTGTAGATAGCAGAGCTTCTTCATCAAGTCACTTATCTCAAGGAGTGGGTTAGAAGAATCCCTGGCAGTCTTCCATAACTAAGTGTGAGTGTCTAGAGCTGCGTACTCTCCCATCCTAACCTTCCTGTAACCAGTGAGTCTGGCCGGCCCTCAAGAGTTTTCCAGTGGGAGTGCATGCCCTGAGCTGGAGGCCTGGCCAAGCGCTCAAGGAAGGCTCACTTTTATTATTAGCTATGTTTCTGTTATTCTATGCATCCTCTGAAGGGCCTCTCCAGGCCTTGCAAAATCCTACTGAATCTCCAAATTCAGAAATCTGAGTCTTCTCATATCTTATGAAATAAAATAGCATTTCTTTTGACTGGGGCATTTGGGATTATGTGTAAGAAAAATCAGCAAGATTCAAATTATTGAATAGATCTGCTTGTGAAAGGACTTTGTACCGTGAGCCAGGCTGAAAGAGCAACTCTTCATTTTTGTGACCTTGTACCTCTTGGCTCCCACATGCCGTCTTCATTTCCAAAAATCTGAAGAGTTTTAGTTTGCATTGGATGTAATATGGCATTTAATTTCAATTAACAATCTCATTCAGAGTTTAATAGTTTTGGACTCAAAGGAGAGTGACTGTTGACCTCATTCATATGGCTGCCATCATTGGGTTATTTACTTGCATATTTTCATTTAATTTACATCTGTTTGTTTGATAATCAGATATGGGAGAACAGACTTCTGGCTTTGTATCAAGGTCTTGCTGACCTGTCACTTGCTATTCTCCATATTAGCGACTTTGACAGTTACTGACTTGAATTCCTGAGTGTAGATGGCAGAGCCTCTTCATCAAGTCACTTATCTCAATGTCAAAACACGTTTTGGAGACACTGGTGGATTTGCCACTCCAGAGAGGACTCTCAAATGGCTGGATCTGCAAGTCCTTCTCAGATTATTTGATCTTCTCTATCTCTGGTCTCCAGGCCTTGAAACGCCAGGAGGGCGGGAACCATATAGCAGTGTGACTTACTCAGAAATGCAGAGCACAATCAGGTTGCGCTGTGTGCAGCACCTGGCCTGCTGTTGTGTTTACCAAGGGCTGAGCCAGCTGTGTCCCTCTCTGGTCCTGACTCCTCCAAGTTCCAGACCCACAGGCTACACTAACAGGGCCTTTGGGTGTGGTCCACACATTTCTCAAACCAAAAACAAAAGCTAAATTCTTGACTTTCTCTTTGGATTTACTCTTGCTTTTCCAACTCAACAAGTGGCAGCACCATTACCCAGGTCACCGTTGACTTAGATTGTTGTCCGGTGAGTCCTTGCGAGTCTAGCAATGAAGCAAAGTAATTTAGACCTGCTGTGTCAGTTCAGACAAGTTAAAGAGAAAATGTACTATGTACCTCACATGCGTAAGAACAGTGTGTGACTTGGAACTCACCTTCCTAGTCATCACCTGACATCTGTACTCCTCAGTCATCATCAAAAATGCAAGAGGGATCAGTTAGCATTTGGTGTCTGGTGTGAGGCATGTTGTGTTTGTCCTACAATCTGAGCCAAATGACATTGAGCAGAAAGTAGATTTGGAAATAGATGTTGCATTCCTGGCCCTGGGGAGGAGGGAGGGGATGAGAGGGTCAGCCCTCTGTTCAGAGGGAGGGGAAGAGCTCAGAAAGGGTTGATAAATCAGACATGTTAAACCAGGAGCAACAGAACCTGCCATCTGCAATTAACCAGCAAGACCATCTTTGAATGTGTGGAAGGAAAAGGATGTTGCCGCCCTTGCTGCAGAGTGTTTTGGTGCTAAAGGAAACAGCAGTTTTGGGAATAGAGAGCTCAGAGCTTCCAGATGCTTTTGCACCCCTCAGAGTATGGAAAAACTCCCATAAACCAGCAGCCTGCAAGGGCAGCTGACCTTTCTTACAAGCTGGGTACTTTTGTTTCTGTGCCTTGCAGCCTCTTAACTTTGCTGGAACATGGCTTTTGCCTCTGTTCCTGCTTCTGATGTCACTTCTATGCTCCATCATATGGAAGAGACCCTGCCTGATTGATAATAATCCTGGCTTCATCATTTTTAATTATGTCAAGACATGTACAAAATAAAATTTACCCTCTTAACTGTGTTTATGTTCTGCAGCTTTACACATACTCACAACATTGTGTGTCACCACAGTCTACCTCAAGTATTTCACCTTCCTAAGCTGAAACTTTTCCATGAAACACTGACTCTGTTTCTTCCTTTCTGGGCCTGATGCCAGCCTTCCACTCTGTCTCTGTGAGTTCAACCACACTGGGGATCTAGGACATGTGGAATCCCTCAGCATGTGTCCTTTGTGACTGACTTATTTCACTAGCATGGCACCTTCAAGGGTCATTGTCAGAACTACCTCAATCTGTGAGTGGATGCTGCTGGGCTGTCTTCATTTCACTCATCCTCCATTTAGTTTTTATCCAGTTTTCCTTTCCTTTAAGCCGTCTGTCATAAAACACAAGTGCAGTGCAAAAAATGACATAAAAATATGTGTAACTTTGTGCATTAGTATAAACCAGGTCAAGCCAGGACGTTACTAGCTCCTAGGTCCCTGCTGCGGCCCCTCCAGGTACGGTCCAGCTTTCTTTGCAAGGTACCCATGACCCAGCCTCCTAAAGGGGCTACTTGGTTTCATTTCCTCAGTTTTGTTGCCCATTCTGCCTTCCTACTCTCTGGGTTCAGGTCTTTCCCATTTTGTAATTTGGGGTCTTTTGTGCCTTTTTAACTGCAGGTTCCCTTTATCCCTTTCTCTTCCTTAGTTTGTTGTTGAAGAACCTGGGTCTGACTGTCTGGGGCATTTCCTACAGTCCAATTTGGCTGGCAGCAGACTTGCCCTCCAGAACAGCTCACCTTGTTCGGGCAAGCTGGCAGGTGTGCCCAGGCTGGGGCCACCCCCAGGGAGAAGGTGTTGGGCACTTTGGAGGAGGTGCATCTGGTCTGTGTCTTCACTGTGATATCCACAGCAGCAGTGATCTCTCATGGCATCGGGGTTGCAAAGCAGTGATATCTTCTCTGGCACCTCTTTTTCTTTATCCTTGGAAACTCTTGAAGGAATGCCCTCCTCCCCCATTGTGGTTACCCGGGGGTGCAGTCACTTCAGGCAGGATGGACACCCCATGCTCTCCCAGGTTCCCCAGCATCCTGGGAAGGGAGCATGGGACAGTTGGTCAAGTGTGACAGTGGACCTGCAGACTGAGTGTCCAAGTCCTTCCTCCCCTGCATCAAAGCTCGTGATGCTCCATCTCTGCCAGAGAGGACCATACCAGACTGCATCCCTGTCTGGGCTGCTGAGCTCAGCAGGGTCCCTACCAGCTGTTCTGATAACCTGGCCCTCTGGTCCCCACTCAGTTTATAGTGAATTGTGAATGCACTGGGGTTTTTGGCTTTGCTGTCTGATTGCTCTGTGTATTTCTAATGTGCAGAAGTAAGGTAATTCAAAATCTATGCCTGCATATTTACTTTGATAGTACCACAAACTTCTATAAACCCATCACCTACCACAGAAACTAGAACACAGGCAACTTCTCACTCTGCCTATGGGACAGCTGCCCCCCACAAGGTTATCACTCTTTTTAAATTACATATTGATGATGTGTTGCATTGAATGCAAACAGAGATATTCTTAAAACTTATAAAGGATGTGTGTATATATATATATATATATATATATATATGAAATTTATAGAAAATTTCCTATCCATAGATGCTCCTTTTGGTTAGTTTTAATTATACTTAGCGCGACTTAGTTCTTGTCTTGCACGTGATATGCTAAGATTCCCATGCGCAAGCAGATTCCCACGTCAAGCAGAAGTGACATGAGGTACAGGCTGGCAACACTTTGGGCTGCCTTCCTTCCTCTTTCAGGCTCCTGGGCCATGATCCCCAGGTGGTGCCTCATAGGCAGGTACTGCTCCTACGTGCAGAGCACATGGCCTGCCATGGGTGTGCTGGAGTGAGCATTCCGCCCCCCAGGGGGATCAGGATGGTACTCCTGCTGCAATGTGCTGAGGCTCTGCCCCCACTGATGAGTACACCGAGGCTCACTTGCCCTGTGAAGTTACAAGGCGGTTACTACCTACCATCTACTGCTTACCAGGCAGTGATGACCCTGTCTTACTCTGTGAGCAGGGAACAGCCAGCCATGGAAGCTATTTCTGAACCTGAGCAAGGCTAAGGGTGGCAGGGGAAGCTGCATGGGTGTCTGAATGTAATGCCCCTGCTTCCTCCCAGAGCATTCTGTAAAATGTGAGGATGTGGGTATTAAAATTTACCTCTCACTCTAAGATTATGACAGTTTTATGCCCTACACATTTGTAAAGCTATTCTAGGAAATTGAAGTTCTACTTTTCCCCCAAAATAAGACCTAATTAGAAAATAAACTTTAAGCCAGGCATAGTGGCGTGGCCTATAATGCCAGAACTTGGGAGGCTGAGGCAAGAGGATCACTGTGAATTTTAAGACAGCCTGGGCTACATAGTGAACACAAGGCCTGAGCTACACAGTGAGACCCTGTCATGAAAAAATAAAATTTTTAAAAAAAGAAACTTCAGCTGTAATTAATAACTGGTAATTACCATGGCAATGGGCAGGGTTATGCCGAAGAGTATTCCTTACTATTTCCTTTCTTGGTGGCTATTCTAATGGCAGGCTAATTGGGTCTTGCATGTTTTATCTCTAGTGATGTCTTATTTTCAGGGAAACATGGGTAAATAAGAAAATAGATGGTAAAAGGCTGAGAGTACAACTCAGTGGTAGAGTGTTTACTTAGCATGTGCATGGCCCTGGGTTCCACCCCACGCCCCAGCCCTGCAAAAAAAAATACCTTAAGAAATGAGATGGAGCTGGGGATTTAGCTCAGCGGCACAGAGCTTGCCTGGCAAGCATAAGGTCGTGAGTTTGATTCCCAGTACCCGAAAAAAAAAACCCCCCCAAAAAAAAGAAATGAGATGATAAAGTTCCTAAATGTAAGACAAACAACATTCACTGAATTCAGCTCTGAGCCAGGCACTCATGAGCATTGTTGCATTGAATCCTGGAGGACCAGCGGGTGTTGCGATAAGGTCTGTGCTCAGCTGAGGCCTGGCTTCCTCAGGAAGTTGCTCCACACAGGGCAGCTCCCACCCTAAAGGGCCTAGAACTGAACGGCCCAGAGTTTGAAAGTTTGGATAAAGGAAATTGTTTTAAAAGCTGAGGGAAGTGACTCCCATGTTTGAGAATAAAGAATATTGAGTATTGTGAAAGAGGAACTTTTGGGGTCAGTCAGGAAAGAGCTTTTAAGTTGTTCTTGGAAAAATTAAACACTGCTGTGGAATTGTGTCAGATGTTTAAAATGTGCTGATTACAGTGCGGAATGACATTCTAAAGGGCCACGGGGATCTTTTGGACTCTAACTTGTTTTTTCAGCTTTTTATGCTCCTTATATGGTGTCCCTTGAGCTTTGAGGCCCGGCTTTGTAGCCTTAGCTTTTTCACTTGTTTTCCTTTATGATTAAAGTGCGGGCATTAGAGGCAGCCGGGTATGTGTCCTGGGCAGTTCACCAGGGGCACCAGGATACTCCTGGCCTCAGCGGGGCTGGCACAGGCCGCAGAAGGAAGCACGGCCTGACGCTTGCTTGGGCCTGGTACGGGTGCCAGGAACCTGTAAGCCTGTTCTTCTGACTCTTCGGTGTACTGGTCCTGCTTTGAGGTGGAGCTCTGGCTCCTCCTCTTGTCGGGAGCTTTGATGTGAGAAGGGCAGAAAGCTGCACTCTTGTCTTTTGCGGGGGTACTTCTCCTGAGACAGGGGCTGCTCATAGAGAGCTCTCAGAAAGGACTCTGTGGAGACATGTGCACCCAGTGAGTGTGTGAGTGTCTCCCTCCTACCCCACAACAAGTCTTTATTCTCAGAGGGACACAAACACACAACCACAGAATCTGCATATCTGTCCCATGAGGTCACCTCGCCAACTGCAGCTGTGTAACAGGACAGAGTGCACTTCCCCTACTTTCCTGCACTCCCACATTGGTCCCTGTGGACAGGTCTACCCACCATGTCCCTGAGGCTCTTCCTTGTGGAGCTGGTTGGCCTCCTGACAGTGACAGTTCAGTCAGAGCTTGAACTAAGTACTCAGTGACCTTTTCCTGAGCAGGATCTGATTTTCTGTGTCACTGCCCCTTGTTCAATGGCATTTTGGAAAGTTTTCCACAGCAGTGATATGAAAGTCAAGAGAGGGCATAGTCTGGGTGTGGGCTCATGGGAATGGGCAAGAGCAGCAGACAGAAGGAACAGCCAGGTCAAGGCTTCTTCTATAACTGGGTATGGTACTGAGGCTGATGGTGAATACTTCTTCATAACCTGCCTGTATCAGCTTTTCATCACTTTGACAAAAATGCCTGGCAAAATTCAAGGAAGAAAGATTTATTTTGACTCATAGTTTCAGAGGTTGCAGTCCATGGTCAGCTGGTTAGATTGCTTTAGGCCTGCGGTGAGGCAGAAAGAATGTGGTAAGAGGGCAAGGTGGGGAAATCTGCTTACCTGTGGCAGCCAAGAAGTAGGAGAGAGCCAGAGGGCAAGGGACCAGGGATCAGGTATAGTCCCCAAGGTCACCCCCATGACCCACTCCCTTCAACTAGCCCCTACCTCCTAAGTATCTATTACCTCCAAATCATGCCACCCAACTATGATCATTTCAGTGGATTAATTCACTGTGAAATTGGAGCTTACAAGATCCAACCGTCTTCCAAATGTCCCACCTCTGAATACATGAGCCTTTGGGGGACATCTTGGATCTGAACCATAATATCAACATGCCCAAATCGCACTCCTGTGTTGTTCCCTTCTGCTGACAGCAAAGATCATCCATGTGCCTGGGTCAGCCCTGGGCATCAGTATTATCCAAGTGGGACAGTACTGTGCTCCAGCTACCACCCTGACCCAGCTTTCAGCAGCAGACAAAAACAGATGACCACCTCTGGGACAAATACTATCAGGTCCTTCTACCTGTGGCCTCCACCCAAAACAGGCCACACACACTCACACACACACACACACTTATACTTTCTGTGCATGGATAAAGTCCCAGTAAAAAGGGCATCGCTCAGGCATATTCCCAATATCACTCTGGAAAAAAATTAGGTGCTTGTGGTTATTTCACCACTGCAATTATTAGTCTTTTTATCTTTAATTTTCCCTGTGCTACTGTTCTTTCATGAATTCATGTTTTGTTCTAAAACTGGAACCAGTCCATGTTCATTTTTCCTTTGCTGAAATCCAAAGCTAATACACGTTTCTTATGAGCATGCCCTTGCCTCTTCCACACAGGGTGTAACTGAGGAACATAGCTCAGCAAGGCCAGGAGTTGTCGAGGCTTGAACACAGACATTTTAGCTTCTCCCATCATAATTAAAGAATACTGCTGCCCGAGACAGGACTGTTCTAGCTGCTGAGGCTCCTACGCTTTATCTGAATGCCAAATGCCTCTGCATTGGCCTGTGGACCAGTGGCCCTTTAACCTATGAAGTCTTTCTCAGTAAACATGACCTCCTCCTCTCCGTCATAGGTCAGCAGACTCCTGCACAGGCCAGCTAGATGCCTGGTCTCTGAGGCCACCTGGCCACGGGCTCGATTACCCAGTGCTCCCCTTCAGTCCGGCACAGTGCGCCGTCTGTCAGCAAAGGGCTCTGTGTGCTCCTGTGAGTCTTTGTTGACAAAAGCAGGCAGCAGCTGGCTCTAGCCCGGGGCTTTCCTCTGTCAGCCTCACTTGGTGCTTAATTAATGAACCTTGGCAGAGTACGATTGCTCAGTTTCATCTTTTCTATTAGGAAACCATTGTGGTGCAGTGTCATCGGCCTGGCCATCCTTTGATTAATAAGACATATAATTTTGAAAGGTAAGTGCTCTTCAAGATGCAGTACAGATCCAAGGTATATTAAACATGCAGACTTTGCATTGAAGTTTTTTAGCAAAAGATACAGTTTATCCTATTGATTAATTGTGATTATAAAGAACCCATATGTTAATCCCTCAGGTAAGTCCTCAGTCTCACATATCCAGATGGTTAATGGGGCTTTGTCAAGATGACAGCAACTAAAGATGGGGTGCAGGCCTCCCTCGCACCTGGTCTTGGTATTGTCCAAGTAGCAGATGGGACGCTTGTGAGGCTGGAAAGCTAGAAGTAGGGTGCAGAAGCAGCATCCTCCTTGCACTACCGAAGAATAATGAGGGGACTCAGTGCAAGGTTCTGCCTGCTGTGCCCCACTGCAGTCCCTGAGGACTCTTCTGGTCCCCAGTGGCCTCTGTGACTGCCGGGGCCATGATGGAGATGTGCAGGGTCTCCAGCTCAGTGCAGTCAGCGCCTGCAGGAGGAAAAGGCCAGTTCCAGCAAAGAGTGACCGAGAACCCACGGAGCTCACACCACCCTGAGCCCATGAGGTGGGGGCCTTGTCTCAGGCAGGGCTGCCTGGCAGAGCTGGAGAGGAAACCTCCAGAGGACCAGTGCATCCTGCATCCAGTGGCTCTCAAATTTTATAGCAAGCTCCACAGCTGCACTTGCTCTTTACCTCTGTTGATGAGAAAGCATGGTTACGTTGGGCATGTGTGTGTGTGTGTGTGTGTGTGTGTGTGTGTGTGTATATGTATGTATGTATGTATGTATGTAAAGGGGGGCAGATGATGCTTTCCCAGGCTTCTGTAAATGGATGTAAATGGCTTCTTCCTCCTCTATTAATGCACTGCCTCACTCTGTCTCCCAGAGTCTATCGTCCAGCAGAACCTCAGACAGCAGTGTTTGCGGATGTGTGCCTACTACTTACCTCCCTCTTGGATGGGTGAGTTAAAGTATGTATAAGGCTAGTTATTACAATTACATTTAATACTGCACATGCAAACCTCATTCATGCTACAGAAGGAGACAGGGCCATCAGAGGCCAGGCATCATGTGACAGTTGAGCAAAGCCAGGACCCAGCTCAGAGTCTGTGGGAGGATATTTGTGTCCTGGAGAAGAAGCAAAGTGCTTTGAGGAGCAGTTGTCACATGGGTGCATGTGCTCTGGCTCCATGCTGCTTTTCACTGGGAGTGGACTGCAGACTGAAGACTGCCACAGCTGCTCCCTTTCTTCTCTCTGGGGTTAGTTTTACACGTCAGAGATTTTTTAAAAATCTGTTGAAAATACCAACATCACATTGGGAAGCTTTTCCCTTTGGGAATCAGCCTTCTATTTTTGGAAAACATAACTACTGATTTTATAGGCAAGGGGCATAATTTAGAAGTAAATATACTTGTTTATCAGTAAGTAGAACTAGGTTTGTATACTTAGCACCACAGCCAAGACTCTCTACTGCAGGGTATTTGGAAGAATCTTAGTTTTATAAAGAAGTCTCAGTCAAACTTCCTGAACAAGACTTATTTGTGTTTGCCTAGCAAAGGCTTCTGCATGGCCAGTCTCAACAAAATAGAATCTATAATTACCATGTTGTTATTTTACACCCGTGTGCTGTACACCCAGGAGGCCTGTAATCTGCAGAGTGAGGTTATGTCCTCCTCATGGCCCATACATATGCAGCCAGTCCTGCCTCCGGTGACTGCAGCTCCTGCTGCAGCTTGGTTTCTGTACCCACCCAGATACTTCCGCCACTGAAAACGACAAGGCTGTCTCAGAAGGCATTCTTGAAATGAGCAGGTTGCAGAAATGAGAAAGGCACTGTAGTTAGAGTGAGCTCTGCCAGACTTGCCTTCCCATCATAACCCGAAGCAGATAGCATTATTGAAAGTGCTGAGCCTTCTGCGACTCACATCCCCGGGAGGTTTGAAGGTCCATAAAAGCCGCACATTGAACCACCTGTCTCAGTGTGCTGCTTAGTGGTAAAGTGCTTGCCCAGCATGCACAAGGCCCCAGCGTTGCAAAAACAAACAAGCAAATAAAATAATTGCAGTCAAGGACTCCCAGAGAAAAGTACTCATTTGGGGGAAGCTGGAAGAGATGTGAAATGTATGGAGATTTTGTTAAGAGTGCCATGAGCCTTTTTGATTTTGGAAGAAAATTATTTAGAATGACAGTGACCTTAATCTGCTCTATCCAATGTAGTTCCAAGATCTTTGGTGCAATGTAACAGTTAATCTCAGAGTTGGACTTTCAGGTCTCCTACCTTCGGTATCACTGTTCTGGTGAGAATCAGATGTCAATCTGAACATTTTCATAAATCCATTCTATCAGAACTCATCTGTCTGACTTGAGGTAAAACAGAAAAGTTTGAGTGAAGGTTAATTAGATCAGAACCTCTGTGCTGGATCAGAGGTTAGATCAGAACCTGTGGGCATTGTGTCACCTGTAATCTCAGCATTTGGGAAGCTAAAACAGAATCGCCATGTGTTCCAGGCCAGCTTGGGCTACAGAGTGAGTTCAGTGTCAGCCTGAACTACGTAATAAGACCCTGTCTCCATCAGTCAATCAGAACCTCTGAGGTGAGGAGTATAGATTTTGGACAGTCCCTAAGTGATTCTCACCTGGGCTTGGGCAGAGCACCCTGTATGATGCACCTAACAATCGTGGGTTAGGTTGACCTGTACCTTTAGGGTAAAGAAAACTGTATGGCTGAGAATATAAGTTTATAGCACAAACTAATCTCAAATATTCTTCCATTGTTGCCAGTCTTCTTGTTGATGTTTTGGGCTAAACAAAATGACTAGAAGAAAATTTGAATATATTGTTAAGTCTTGTGTTCTGTGAAATTAACTATTGTCAAATAATCACAGATGTGGGACTAGTCAGCCTCACCACAGGCAGCTCACAGAGAATATGAGAGCCCCACAAACCCTTGGGTAGCAAGTATAAACATGTACGGTTATCATCTAACTATAACTGTAGCCAGCAATGCTAGCAATTGTCTGTACATATAATGAGGAAAAATTTTAAGAACATTGAAAGAAAATATATAAGCGCTTATATCAAAATTATATTATGACAGGCCCAACTTTATGAAGGTCAAGTTACATCAGGAGACTCTAAGACTGCACTGAAAGTTAATGAGAAGTGTGAGTTTAGGAGGGACTTGCTAGGTTAGAACCCTGGTAAACTGTGAGCTGGCCAAGGGTGTGAGCAACTGTTCGCAGTGGAAGATGTCAAATGACATAATGTAGGTACTGATGAGATGTATGTTGTATTGTGAATGTAAGGATAATTTTATCCAGTACTCTATATAGCAAAGTAGCTATGCAGTGAATGGATTATGTAAACAATAGTCATAGTTGAATGAAAATCTAATTTACAAAGAGTGCTTACAGAGGAACACAGAATGAAGTGCACTGAAGTTTTACATCCAATTCACAATTTCTCCCAGTATCAGTTTAAGACCCTATTCCTTGTCTGTGTTTTGCCACACTGAGACATTTGAATTTCAGGTACAATATAGCGGGAAGAGCTACACCATATTGGGACCAGGGCTACCATCAGACGCCCACAGCGACTTGGGACTTATCCCCAGAGCGGTTGAGGAGCTCTTCAGGTAACTCTGATGCTGGTGATGACAGGCAGGTGCTGTGCAGGAACTGGAGGGACCATGGGAGTCATGTAGAAAGCCATACCTGGACAGGTCCACTTATCGATGACATTTAATACCCCAACAAGCCCTTGGACATTATTGCCATGAATGACACAAGTTCTTACCATGAATGTATGCTGGAAGTCTATTATTAGGATGAACTTTATTGGAAGAGACTCCAAGTTAATTACCAGTGCAAAGGTTTTGTTCTAGAGCAGGAGGAAAGTGTAGAAAGGCCTATTGTCTTTTCCTGCCAGGCCACAGAGCAGACTTATCTTCCCTTCTTGGCCCTTCCAGCAAATTTGTCCCATAAAAGGTCCTCTGTTCCATTAACATATTCCCAGAGGAGACCCACTGCCATGGTCTCAATTTCACTAACACAATTATTCTTAGAAGAAATGAAAAAAGCAATTGAGATTGGCAGGAGGGCCTGGAATGATACTGGACCTCCTGACCCACTGCTTTGCTTGGTTACTAGCCTCAGCCTTTTGGTGGTCATCTTCCTGTTTGCACACTGTTTTGAACAAGCCTGGGCTCACTCTGAGGTTGGACTGCATATTCCCCACCAAACCACTGGCTGTCAGCAGCAGACTCAACTGCAGCCAGTGTCATGGTGCTCCCACACCTGACCTTCAGTTTCTCTCTCTGTTTCCTTGCATAGATAGCCCTTTTGTGTCCTAAAACCAGGGCCAGAGCATGATGCAGGAGCTCCCACCAAGCCTAATATTTTGGTGCCTCTTCAGGCCAGTAGTATTTAAATGTTTGTATACATAAATAGATGTGCTTATCAATTTACATGTATAGACCACATCTTGGGGTCTGAGCATCCTAAGACACTATGATGCATGGGTGTGTCATAGAAGGGTTTATCAGAGTTACACTGGAGTTCACAGGTCACTGTTGCCCAGGGACTGTGTCTCTGCCAGGCTTGGTCCACTTGGCCAGAAGGTCACTGGCTATAGGTGAGAATATGGCAGAACTGTGGTGGCAGTGGCATCATCTCAGAAGAGGGACATTGGCGTGGGAGTTGGGAGGACATGTGCAGGGGGTTCCTGGGGCCCAGACCACCCTCTGCTCTCCCTTGGCCCTCATGGTAGCTGGATTCTATTCACCTCTCATTCCCCGCTAGCTTACCCATTCATTTATCCACCGCTAAAAAGAACCTGCTTGGGGCAGCCTCTTAGCATCTGTGCTGATCATGTCAACAGTGTTTGAACTCATAAGACAGCACAGATGGTACAATCAATAGATGGGAATAAACCTAAATAGACCTTTCTGAAAAGAACACATACAAACAGCCAACAGGCATATAAAAATATTCAGTGTGTTGGTTTGGGGGTTTTACCAGGAGAATAATATAATACAGGACACATAGTTTATAAGATTTATAATAGTCACCGAAAGAATCATCTACAAAGAGTGCAGGAAATCTGTCCACACACTAAAGACCAAAGTATCCAGCTGAGGACCTGGATCCCATGGCAATGTCCTTTATGAGTTCAACCCATAACAGTGCCTCCCATGAGTCCGGCTGGAGGCCCAGAGCACATGACAATGTCTCATGCAGGCCTGTTTCACAGATCTGCGCTGGGAAGGTCCAAGGTCAGTGGTGGAAGCTAGAAAGTCTGTGCCAGCAGGATGAAGGATCTGTGCTAGCAGGCTGAGGGGTCTAAACTGGAGCCAGGAAGTGACACTCAAAGAACCAGAGCTCCTCTGAAAAGTACCACAGCCATCCTCAGCAGCCGTGAGGTCCCAAGCTCCTCAGATGATCAGGAAAGCTGAGTTCCCATTAGGAAAGCTAACGCAATAAGCTTCTCCAGGAGAAGAAGCAGTGCACCATTTTCTCCTCTGGAGCCAGAAAGCGATGCCCAAGGTGAGGACCAGAGCTCCCCCAAAGTGAACTTAAGCCATTTTCAGTGTCAACAACGTCCCAAGCTCCTCAGATGGTGAAAACAGCAGAGTTTATCAGGAAAGCTAGCATGACCAGCTCCTCCAAGAGAACCAACAGCTCCTTATAGCTTCTAACAGCACCCAATAGCTTCTAATGGCACCCAATAGCCTCTTTCCTTCTTCTCCAGGTCTGCCTCTTATGCTGCTGGCAACAGTCTCCAGGTGGGACTCCCATACCCAGCACCACGCTGATTCAGTTCAGCTGGGTATTACAAACTGACCACCAGTTGTCTATCCACCACACTCAACATCACTAATCATCAGGAAAATACAAATCAGAACTACAGTGAGATCTTACCTAACTCCAACCAGTAAGAATGGCTGTTATGTAAAATATTGAAGATAATTGCTGGCAAGGATGCAGAGAAATGGGAATGCTTGCACAAGCTTGGTGAGAGTGTAAAGTAGTGTAGCCATTATGGAAAACAGTGTGATGATTCTTTAGAAAAATTAAAAATAGGACTATCACACAGTTCAGCAAACCCACTCCAGGGTACAGAGCCAAAGGGAATGAAAGCAGTGTGTTGAGGACACATATCTGCGCTCTCACGTTTATGTGGCACCATTCTCAAGAGCCAAGAAATAGAACCATCTTGTGTTCACCTACCAATGAATAGGTAAAGCAGTGTTGTAGATATGCACCATGGAATACTGTTCAGCCATAGAAAGGAAGGAAATCTGTCATCTGTGACAGCATGGATGGAACCTGAGAACATTATGCTAAGTGGGGTGAGCCAGGCACAGAGAGAGGAGTACCGAATGACCTCACTCATATGTAGGATCAAGAGAATTGCTCTCAGTCACAGAGAGTAGAACGGTGGTTTTCTGAGGACCAAGGAGCACACAGGGAAGAGGGCAGGGGAAAGGCTTCTCGGGGGGTACAAAGTTACAGGAAAATGCAGGAAAAGTTCGGCTGGGCAACTGCTGCACCACAGGGTGAGTAGAGAGAACAACATCCTGTGTATTTCAAAGCCTAGAAGAAAGGAGTTTGAATGTTTTTACCATAAAGAATGGTAAATCTATTTCTGAGGAAATAGATTCATTAATTTACCCTGATGCCAACATTACGCAGTGTATACATGTATTGAGAAATCACACAGCACCCCATAAATATGGACTACTTTTATCTTTTTATGTAGAAGTTAAAGATAAATTCAATAATTAAAATAATTGACTAATAATTTCTCTTAATGCTAAGCAAACTTTTAAGGCTCTAAAACAGGGGGTTTGGGTGACAGGAAGGTAAGACTGGAAGGTGGGAGCCAGGAGGGGTGATGGGGGGCAGGGACCCTTGCTGTTTGCTTCTTAGCCTCTGCTGGCTGAGTTCTGAGGTCCAGTGTTCAACCTCGATCCAAGGCAGGGCGACTGCAACATTTCTCTGAGTTTTTCTTCATGGATCCCACAGTGGGCAGTGTGAGGTTACTGGGCTGGCTCTGTCTGCAGTGGGGTTTACACACAGGTTACAGTGACACAGAGCAGACATTTACACACAGTAGGTCGTGCTCTGATTCTGGAGCTCAGGGAGCATGGGGAAGAGCTGCTGGGGATGTGGGCTTCTGTGGAGATGAGTTCAGAAGACGTCTGGGCTGTGAGAACTATCTAGAGATGGGATTCTCAGCATCACCAAGCAGAGGATCCCATTACTGGTAACTATTTACATCACCCCACTTTCACAGAGGGTATAAGTCATCCTTTAAATGATTTTAGTCATGGGGCATGCAGTGATAGCCTGCCATGTCTTAGGTCTTCTGTAAGAGTAGTGATTTGGAGCATCAGAGTTCAAGAGGAAGAATTCTGAGCCTCTCTTCTTCCAGCTGAGACCGAGGCCAGACCCAGCTTCCCCCAGCCTCTGTTCCTCTACAAGAATGAGAAAGTCCAAACATGCAGTCATTCCTCATTGCCAGACAGGCTCTGGAAAGGAACATGTTTAGCCAGATGCGTGGGTGAGTTTGGGTGTGCCCAGGTTAAAATGCAAGCAGTCTGTCTGCCCAAAATGTGAAACCACATGAGGCACAGATATCAGAGAATGCTTATCTGAGCCTTTATCCTAAAACACATTCCTTTGAGATGGCTGGCATTACCAAATGTAGGCTTTGCTAATGAAGGTGTCCCTGCCATTATAAATAAAATAAAACCCCATCCTTGGAGTTCTTCCCACTTCCCATCTCTCCTGGTTGCTGACACTCTATCCTCCGAGACTGATCTCCCTATTATCCTTATCAACTAAAGTGTACAATATGTTTGTGTATAAAAGCACTATCAAAAGGCATGAGAAATACAGAAATGCATGTGAGAAATCTTTCACTTTTAAAATGTCTAGGAGGAGACAGACCAGTCATCATGATCCAGTAGGATGTGTGCAGGAATAGATGGACCAACGCGGCCCAGGAGAGACTGGAAACTCTACTGAGGCCCAGTGCCCTCTGCTGGACACTGGCCATTAGAGCCTCCTGGGAGCCTCATGGTTTTTGTCATCTGGTTGATCACACTGTGCTGCCTTTGCCCCTTTACATGCTCATCTCACCTACTAGATGCTTTGCTTCTAAAAGGCTGAGAGTGAAGACTAGTTCCCAATGTTGTGCATAGAATCCAGCCATCAACTCAGTGAGTATGGTGGAAAATCTTTTAAATGAACTCTTGGGTATTCTGTAGATAAGAAACATCTAATTCAAGGTTTGCGACGCTCAGAGACTCATCCTCTCACAGAAAGGAAAGGGCAGATGCGGAGGCCACACTTCTGTACCTCTCTTACACTCTCCCACCTGAAGGGGAAAGCGGAATGTGAAATCTAGCTTAGCTGAGTTTGGTTTTCACTTCTCAGTCCTCTTCACACAGTCTTAGCAAAATGCAGTGCCCAAAACAACCCAGACCTTCACACTTACTTGAGAATTTCACCTGCTTTTTCTTTTAGGTAAGTCTGTTGTTTTTATATTGCTTATTATTTGACAATACTAAGTACTTATTTTATTCATAACTCTCTCTAGATCTGGATAAAAACTTCAGTCTAGCAAAGCTTAAAGGGGAAACATCCTGGCTAGACTTTTCCTACAGTACAAATAATGTCCAGCCACTGGAGGGTCCTGACCAGAGCTCAGAATATCTCTATGAGCAAGAGCAGTGCAAGTTAAGATGAGTTGATTTCACTGTGCAAGAGAGAGGAAGCGACAGTCTCTGCAGCATCTCTGGCCTTTGCTTCTGCAACAGCTCCCTTGGGTGGAGTTTTGTCAGAGGTGTGGTGCTGGGAGCTGGATAAGAGGAAGGAAGCTGCATGCTCATGGTCCCCTCTTCCTTGTGGATGATGGTGTTTTTCCCTCTAAGTATGTTGTGTTCTTATTTTTAAATTTCTCTACAGTCAGCACATAGTGCTTCAAAAGATAAAACAGAATAAGATATGTGGTTTTGCAAGAGCCTACAAGGGGTTTTAGGAGGTCACAGGAAGATCTTGGTTGGGAGATACAAGTTGCACCAATGTAAAGGAAGGACCCAGTCTTTGCTAACACAGCATACAGCACACAGCAACAAACCCCATTCCTGGCAGGTGCTGTGGGTCCTAGGGTCCTGGCACCCTCGCTCTGGGTTATGTGCATGGCAAGGCTAGGATGTGTGGCTTCTGATCAAGGCTGCGCACTCCACCCTCCTCACCTGGACAAAGCAGAGGCAATTGGTCTAAATAGAACCCCAGTCAAGTAACTTTGTTCACAAGACTGAATTTTAAAAGGATTTTAGAACATAAACAGAATTAAGATGTACCTGTACCCGTTCCCTATGATGAATGTAGTCACTATGGACTATAATAAAACTATTTTTAAAGAAGCAAACTTTAGTATGAAAAATAAAAGGATTTTAAATTGATTCTCTTACTCTCAAGTGACCTCGATGTTAGTAGATCCACTTATGGACTACAGGAGTTTTGACCCAGGGCTGTGTCACCTAACTTTGGGAGCCTTTTGGAAGGTCTTTCGGAGGGCTCACTGGACTTCTCAGATGGTTTAGTTCTTCTGTGTGTGTTTCCCTAGGCTTATTTCAGGAAACCCATCAGAAAGCCCAAAAGTGGATGTTTCCATAGTGGAAATTTATAACAACAACATTTTTGATCTTCTGGCCAAAGACAATTCCACAGTGGTGTCTGGGTCAAGCGTGAGGTGGTAACAACCGGGATGGATGGACAGAGGTCCCCCTGCTGACCTGCGGGTGAGTGGGGGAGGGACCTTGCTGCAAAGGTTCGGTGCAGTGGCTTTCCAGGAGGGGCCCGCCAGCTGCCAGGTCAGGGCTGTGGAGCCGTGAAACCGCTGATCACAGGTTTTTAGGGTTTAGTGTGTGTTGCATAATTTTCAACTTATTTTAAGAATTATATTTTTAATGGTAACTATGTAGCAATGACAGGCATGTTAATTGCCTGGAATATGTTTATCACAAACTTACAGAGTTTTTATGTCAATGATATCTTAATCAACTGTTAAGAAAATAAAGGAAATCCAAACAATAATCAGTTGCTTCAGAAACAAACCAGAAGTCACTTCCTTCTAGCATAAGTCATTCTCTTTCTCGTTATGCCCTGTGAGTGGCCATTTGTACTAGGTCAGTTCAAGTGCAGAAAAGAAACCCACTCACCAAGAAACGCTTCGTGGGGCTGCAGGGTCTAAGGTATATGGAGGGACCAGAGTATAGCACATGAAAAAAATAAAAATTAGAATCTAAAAACTAAACAAAAGTGTCTTAAAAAATCTTTATAAGAGTCTGTGGGATGGGTGTCACTCCACGCTGCTGATGGGGAAGCAGCTTAGAGAAGGGAGATCACTGCCCACATCCGTCCATCATGGACAAGTGTATTTATTTAGACATGTAAATGATACCATCTTGCAAAAGTGAGAATCCTCACATTACCCAGACAACCTTCTTCAGGTTACATATTTTTTAAGCCATACGTGTGCCAGGACACACCTGACTGGCACCCAGAGGAATTTTTACGTCTCTCGTCTGCCTGGAGTCTAACTGCCTATGCTGGGATTCAAGGACAGCAAAGGAAAGGCCTGCAAGCTACTTTTAATATTTCAAAAGCTCAATGGAAGCTGTCTTAGTCACTTTCCTTATCGCTGGGACAAAATGCCCAACACCCAAAACTTAAAGAAGAGGTTTCTCTTCAGCTCTTTCTTAGAATTGCATGGCCAGCAGCAAAGGGGAAGGGTGTGGTGGAAGCAAGCTGTTCACCTCACGGCAGCCTGGAAGCAGCACATGAAGGCAAGAAGATGGGGAGGGGAGCCCCATTTCCCAACACCAAGCCAGCTATAGCACCATAATCCAATCGCAGTCCACAAGCCCTGCGTCTGAGCACGAGAGGCTTTGTGGGGGATGGGGAGCCTAGACAGCATAACAGAAACCATACGCTTGACTGTGATCTATCTACAGAAAGTAACCAGAATTCGAGCCTTAGACAGTGGACCATGATGAGCATGGCCTCTGCTGATCAAAAGCTGTGACCAGAAGCTCATCTCATCAAAAGAAGGGAGAAAATGGCTTAAAGTGATATTTCACAAGTTTGATTTGATAGAGAAAATATTTCAAAACCTTGACCATGAGAGCACAACGAGAAAAGGAATGACTTAGGCTAGAAAGTAGTGACTTCTGGTTTGTTTCTGAAGCTATTGATTATTCCAGAGTGAGCACTGGAGACACCAAAGGTCAGTTAGGCCTCAGAAAGCAAAAAGTTTTATTTCTGATGTTTTGTTTTGCCTACAGTTGGCTTTGTCTCCTTTCTGGAAGTCAGTGTACCTGATTTCATTGAGAGGCATCTGTTAACAGAGAGGTGTTCAATTGGCCTGTGGCTAAGCCGCTGGCCCTTGGTGATCAGCCTTGGAGGTGTGTATGCCCTGCCTTTTGGGGTACCCTTTAAAACATGTCTTCTCAGGGCCATCACCAGTGTGCTGGAGTTCATGGAGCTTCTCCACCAAGGCCTGCAGCTCAGGGCGAGGAACCCTACCCCCGTGCATGTGGAGTCTTCCCGATCTCACCTAATCATAACGGTGACTCTGACCACAGCCACCTCCCTGGCAGCGTCGGTGAGTTGCCATTTGTACTGGGTCAGTTCAAGTGCAGAAAAGAAACCCACTCACCAAGAAACGCTTTGTGGGGCTGCAGTGTCTAAGGCATATGGAGGGACCAGAGTATAGGAATTGCAGCCACATCATCTGACGATCTGGCCCCCAAAGTCAGGAGGCTGTGAGATCCCAGGCTGGGAAGAGAAAGTGAGGAAGGAAAGCTTTTTGCTGGGTTAAAAGGAAAACAGGGTGTACTTATGCCTTGAAGCACAACACACCTGTTGTGGATGGAACTCGGTGTAATTTCAGTTTAAAATGGGAGTTACAGACTATACCGTAGAGAAAATAATTGCAGCTATCCGAGAAAAACAAGGTCTGTGTCACACAAGCCTGCAAGGCCTAGAGCAGTGGTCCTCAGACTCTGGCTCCACAGATCACCCCCTGGGCCTGCGCCTGTGTGGCCTGCAGCACACTCTCCAGGAGGCACATTTGGCAGCCCAGGGGAGCCCAGGGGCTGTTTCTGCAAGTTCATGGTTCCAGGCACCTTGCCACAGAGCCAGGCTGGGCCGTGGCTTCACGCTGTGTAACACAGAAGCCCTAGGCCAAGTGGGCCACGCAGTGAAGGCTGCTTCTCCCTCGTCAAGGCCAGTGTAGGCGGACATGCTCCATCTTGTCTCAGTGACACTTGATCCCCTGTGTCCTCTGTGGCTGCCCAGCCCAGGGAAGGGGCAGGTGAGGCAGCACACTCACCCTGGTGGCCACCAGCCCGTCTAGCGCTCACCACAGCCAGTCGCAGGACTGGGCCTACTGCGGGGCTGGGGCAGTTCCAGGCACAGCGCACCAGCTGCGTCTACCTGACGCGTGCAGGAGACAAACACCATGGGAAGGACAGAGGCTTTTTGTTCCTCTTTTTAATGCACATGTCCTATTTGGCACAGTGAGTACATATTTTTTTAGGCTGAAAAAAATCTTTTCAAGAAGTTACTTTTGGAGTACTGGCTGGCAGAACTGGCACACACTTCAAAATGAAGTGTCATTTGTAGGGTTTTGTGAAAGCTGAGTTGATAGGAATGGTGGGGTTTATTTCCAGATGGATTTTCTGTCTGGGGTTTTGTTAAACTCATCACCAGGCTTTCTAAGAAGCATTGCATTTTCTTGGGACCAATGAGGGAGGCATTAGTTCGGCTTTGCACAGTGACTTCCCTTCCTGCCTCCTCCTCACGTCTCCCTCCAGAGAAGCCACCCACTGTCCCTCTGCTCCCTCCTGTCTCACTGATGGGACATGAGGGTGGAGTTTCAGAAGCTCTTCAGCACCAAGGCGTGGCTGAGCAAAGCTTGGTGACTTTGCCTCCTGCTGTCATTCCCCTTGCCCAGACCGGCGGCCTGGTCAGACTCTCCCTGGGGAGCGCACAGGAGCAGGTAAGAGGTGGAGCTCAGCTCACAGGCTTCGCCTCCCGGGCCCGTCCCTGTGGACCCTGGAGGCCGTAGGAAGCAAGTGCGGCCCAGGCTGCAGTTGGTGGACTTGGCCGGCAGTGAGTGTGCAGGTGAGCAGGGACAGGAGGTTTGCCTGGGTGGACACAGCACAGCAGTATCCCTGCTCTGGGGATGCTGACAAAGCCTGACTCTATGCAGGTGTCTGGGGAGCTCTGAGCATGGCATATCCTCTATGCAGGGGACACTGAAGCCCTGTACATCCCCATGGGTGGTATGATCTCACCACTACAGCCCAGAACATGCCTACCGCACCCTGACACCCACACACATACACCAGGGCACTCTGTGATCAGAGGAGCTCAGAATTTCCAGCAAAAGCTCAGCACTGCTTCTTAGAGGAGGATGAGAGCACGGCGGAGCTCGTTTTGATGGCTCCGGCCTGCTGTCTCCTCTTTGAACACCCCGGGGCATGCTTCTCCTGAGAACCTGCACTGCTTTCTTTGGCTCATGTTGTGAGCGTGTGGTGACTCTACCTGGTGTCTGATCCTTCCAGGTGTGTCTGGGGTGACAGGCTTGGCGCTGAGGGAGACCTCATTCATCAACCGCAGTCTCACGGCCCTGGCAGACATCTTGGGCGCCTTGTCAGAGCACCGGGGCCACATCCCATACTGGAACAGCAAGCTTACCCACTTGCTGCAGGACTCCATCGGTTCGTCCTCCCGTAGTCTTTGGGGCCCCAAGTGCGGGGCCCCTCCTGGTGAGTCCTGGCTTTACCAGGCGTGTGTGACCCAGCTCGGTATCTCCAGCATTGCTGTTAACAACCACAGGGGGCCTGCTGCACCCTCTCACACGCATGGGTTGGTTCCTGTGGTAGAGGTGCACACTGGCCACTCCAGCCAGCCGGCTGTCTCTCAGGGGCAGTCCTAGGACGTGGCAGCTGGCTGAGGAACACTCACCCATTGGATATCTAAGCTATGGGAAGGGCAACTTGGCTTAGTGAGGTGGGACCTAGGGACCTGCAGTCCTCAGGGCCTGGATCTGCTGGCTCTGGGACATGGTTTCTGCTGCAGACGGACTTTCTGCCAGACAGCTGCTCAGCTCAGACAGGCGTTCAGGGTTTGGGCACTGTTCGATGCTGCTTTTCACCAAATTATCTTCATCTCGCATCTTGTTCTTTTTTTTAAGGAGGTGATACAAAGTTACTAGTGATTCTGTGCGTGTTCCCTGGGCAGAAGCACGTGGTGGAGACACTGCAGAGCCTTGGCTTTGGGACTAGAGCGCAGCAGGTCAAGCGAGGATGGGTCAGGAAAAAGCCTCCTCACTCCCAGGTCAAGGAGTTGTGCCTGGGCTCAGCCTAGGAATGAGTTCTCCTCCCTGAATACGTGCTCCTTGTGCCTGCTGTACGAAGGGTGTGCCTGAGAAATAAACGTTTTGTTCAGACTCACTGAGTCTGGTTTTGTTCTCGGGACCTGCAGGTCACTAAACCAGAAGGTGGGGGCGGAGGCAACCTGTCAGAGGGGCCCCTTCCCAAATGGGCATGTGGGCCCTGCAAGGAGCTGCTCGCTCTGCGCAGGCAGTGGGGGTGAGATTCACCATTAAGCCCAGCTGCACGCCTGTCACCTCGTCAGACACGAACCAGGCAAAAGTCCTGGGATCTCTGCACATGTTCTGGAACCAGACAGACATGGGCTCTGCCTCCTCCTGCTGTGTCCCCACGGGGTTAGAGCCCTGCCCACACCTGTGAGATGGGGTCAAGGTTGGCGGGTCAGCAACCATACAGGACAGACAGGAGAAGGCAGTGGTGGAGCCCTCTCGCCGGAGCCAAGCTGCTTGGCCATTCCCTGCTTCTAGAGCCCTGACAGGCCTCTCCAGCGCCCCAGAGGCCAAGGCCGGGTCTCCAGGGGAATGCATGTGTCAGGGAACTGGGGTCATAAGCACAGACCAGCAGTAACTCAGTTTCTCATTAGCGATCTGTTTTGGCTCTGAAAATGCAGTTGGGAAGCGGATTTCCGAGACAAGCCACAGCCGACTGCTTTGGTGCAGAAGTGGCTTAAATGCCAAGAAGATGTTTCTGACTTCACTGGCTTTTGCTGCACCCACATGTGGCTGAGGGGAGGTGTGAGCTGCCTGGGTCCTGACACATGACTCTGCCTGCCTGGAGTGAGGGGTGAGCATGAGCAGCTGGTGTCCTGGGCCATTAAGAGCTGGCCTTCCTCTGGCTGCCCTCCCTTGGGGTACCAGGCCCTCAGTGCTGGGCCTGGCTCTTTACAGTGATGCCAGGAGTCTGCACACATCCACTGGACACTGAGCAGAGAAGTAATGGGCCTCCTGTTTTCCCTGTCACACAAATGCAGCAATATGCTGCGGCTGTGTCTCCACAGATCATACACCGACCTCCAAGGCGACAGTGTCGGGAAAGTGGAGCCCACGGGAGGACTGATGACTGTATAAAAGAGGCCCGAGAGGTCCCTTGGCCCTCCCACACTGGGAGGTCAGAGCAAGACAGTGTCTCACCAAGCTGGAAATGGACCCTGACCAGGAACCAAGTGAGCCAGCACCCTGACCTTGGAGTCCAGCCTCCAGGTCATGAGGGACACATTTGTTTATAGGCTGCACTGACTGGTCGTTTGCTACGGGAGGAAACTAAGACTGCACAATGGGCATCCAGGGGCCGGTGAGGAGAGGAGAGGGGGATGGGGGAGGGGCTGGGCAGCCAGGGACCACGCACTGTGGCAGGTCATTACACAGAGAGCCACATAAGAGGACAGGCTGTGGGAGGGCAGTCACTCGCCTCAGGACATTCACGACAGGCCAGACATATCTTGTCACAGACTTGTCACCACAGCTGGGAGCAGCCTGGCTTCCAGGCTCGATCCTCCACCCACAGGCTGATGTCCTCACCCCGAACTCGGGGCCTCCTGCCGCTGCTCCCCTTCCCCACGCAGAGAACAAGAGGAACCTTGTCTTTCCCGCAGCTGAGCTACACCCTCGAGACCCTGCCCAAAGACAACACCCATCAAGTCCTGTAGCGAATGGCCAAGGTTTGCTTTGGTTTCCAGGATGGTGCTCACACCCTGCACTAGGGACAGCTCCCTCTTCTGTGTCAGTGCCGCTGCCCCGCCCACAGCTGCCCCCAAACCGTGGAGTCCAGGACCCCGGAGGACAAACCTCTGGGCATCAGGGAAATCACAGTGGTCCTGGTCACTCTGTGAGGGTGATGTCCAGTTTCTGCTGCATGGCCCAAACCCTTGTGTTGTCCCACCCTGTGTGTCTTTGATGACAGCAGCAAGGACAGTGATGGGAGGAGCCATGCCCTTGTCAGCAGGAGTCCAGCAGGTCACACTGGTACAGACTTTAGGGCTGCCCAAGGTGGGGACTTCGGGCCAAAAGCCTCTGAGGAGCTGGAGAACCTACCAGCAGTGGGCGTCAGGGCAGGTGAGGAGCTGAGAAGGGTCCCTATCCACAGCCTTTCCCTGGCACCTGGGGACCTCCATCCCCACTTGGGGGCAGTGAGCAGCATGTGTAGGGGTATTGGACACATGTCCCTGAAAGTCAGCCTCTCTGCAATCAAGGCTCTGAGTTCAGAGTCCCCATTTTTAGCCCAATTTTGAGGCCTGAAAATCTCACAGAATTTTCCAGGGGAGCCTCTTTCAGGAAAAAAAAAATCAAGATTGTGAATTCCAAAGTGTGTTTGAAGATAGACATAGAAACATTTTAAAACCATCAAACCCTACCTTTTAAAACGCTAGCAAATAACTCAGACAATCACAAAATTCAGTGACAGTATTCATTAATTGTCTGTGACTGATAAACAGTGAATTAATCTACGGCATATTTTTCCTGTGTTTCTCAGCGGGGCCTTTGTTGGTCACTCTTCATGTGATTTGTGAAATACCCAGCTGTCCTCCGCATGGCTGATGACGTCTGTTTCTGGTGTGGTAGTTGGAAGGCGTCTTTCCTGCACATCCTATGGTAGCCACGAGGATGGTTAGGATGGGAAACTCAAGCTGGGTCTGGGTCTCTTGCTGTCTGCTTCCACCCATTCATGCTCTGGCTCCGGGGGACACATCCACGTCACAGTGTGACCTCTGTCCTTTGCTATCCATTTCAGGAACCTGCTGCCTCTTCCATGACTGATGCTGAGCCCCGTGACCTTCTCCCTCTAGTGTCAAAACCTTCTTCAGCTCAGCGCCATCCCCCCCCCCACAGCCCCACAGCCACGGTGTCACAGGTGCTGCAGTGCTGGCCGTGACCAGGAGAGGGCCAGGCCAGCTGGGAGGAATGGCATCCCAGCCTCCCACCGCTGAGGAGCTTTACTTCTGGACATTTTACAAAGCCACGCAGCCACATTAGCACAGAGCTTAGCCTCCCTCGGAGTACTGGGACATCTGTCCCTGCCCAAAGCCTGCTGCTTGTCTTGGATAGTGTCTACGGTGAGGCGGAGGCGAGGCTGCCTCCCTAGTCTCCTGACCAGCAGCCAAAGGACGTCTGCTCCCCTCCCAGCCCTGTCCCAGCGTGGAGGGAAAGGACATTCCCTTCCAGAAAGGAAGGGCTGTACCTGGAATTCTTCATCTTTCCAGGAGGGTGCTGCTGTGACCAGGTGCATGGAGGACAGAGACAGAGCTTTGTTTCCCAAGAAGAGGTGTTTGTAAAGTGAAAGTGCGGGTGAAAAATCAGAATACAAGCTGGGATCCATGCTTCCACCAGGGAGGAGGGGAGTGGGATCCCTGCCAAGGCTCCAGAGTGGGTTGGAGTGGGCCTTGCCTTCCTCCACCCTAGCCCAGCAGGTCAGCAGCTGCACTGTCCCCCTGCCCCCCAGATGGCAGCAGGACGACAGCAGGCACACAGATGGCGGGTCCAGCCAAAACACAAACACGTGCACTGGGCAGCTGCAGCAGCAGCAGCAAGTCCCTGGGTGGTCCTTCCACATCTGGACCCCGGGTCTGGCCCAGCCAGAGCACCATGGTGGTCACTCCAGGGTGCAGTGCCGACAACTGTCTCCCACAAAGCCCCTGCCCACTGCTAGGGAGACGAGACAGTGGAAGGAGGCTTTCTTTTCCAGTTCCATGGACTTATGTGTGGCTTGGCCTTGGCCCACTTCCACGCCCAACCCAGGCCTGTGTCGCCTGCCCCATTGTCCCTTATGGGCAGAGGCTGGGAGAAGCTTGGCCTCTAATCTTTGTCCCCACTTACCGTGAAGTAGCTGCAGAGAGATACACCCTGTGGTCAAGGACGCTTGGCCCTCTTCCCCATGTCTGTCCACAGCCCAGAGGAGAGACAGAAACAGCAGTCCCCTGGGCCCAAGTGGCGTCTGGGTCAGCCATGGCCACGGCGCCCCTCATCTGTGGGGATGCAGGGCGTAGGTCTTGACTTCCACATGGACCTGAAGCTGCTGCCCACATGGCAGGGGTTGCCTGGCCTCTGCAGCTCCTGGGTAACAGAAGCCAACTCCCTAGGCACAGCCAAGGCTCCCAGCAGGGTTGACTGGATGTGGGGCTCCCACAGCGCCACAGCAGTGAGCAGACCTCAGGGGGCTCTCACCACCCTGTCCCAGACACAGGAGGGTGACTCAGAGCCGGCGGAGGGGGCTGGATATCCCCGGGCTGTTGGGAGGAAGCGCAGGGTGAGGTGCTGCCTGGCACTCCTTGTTGCCCTTCCAGCCCCTCAGGAGCCCACAGGGGTGAGGGAAGGTGGAGGGAGACGACACTGTGTGTTTGTGCTCAGCCCTCTCTGCCTAACCCTATTCTGCAAGACGGGGACAGCAGGGATGCGAAGCGAGGGGCCAGGCCTGGGCTGCCCACTCTGCCTACCTCTTCCCTGACAGCAGGATAGAGCAGGATCTGCCCCCAGCAGTGCTGGTGACCATGGGTGGCAGCAACAAGCTGGCACTCAGGAAAGATCTACCTGGCACAGGGCCTTGCCCACCCTGGAGCTGCAGAGCCACATATTACTAAGTGCAAGGTGGAGGCAGCCAGGGCAGGATGAGCCTCAGGAGCAGGACAGGCCCAGGGCAAAGGGGGATCTGACTTGGCCGCTGAACAGCCCGGCAGCTGGAAGAAGCAGGAGCAAGGTCTTGTGTGGCCCCACACCCCCCGGAAGCAGCCCATATGCTGCTGCTGGCACAGGCACATGGGCCCTGGCTCCATGCCACGGGGACCCAAGCTGGGGCAGTGAGCAGCACAGGGCTGCTGGTACATGCAGGAAAGTGGTTTACTGGCATGGAGGGGACTCAAAGGTGGGAGCAGTTTCAAGATCAAGGAAGTGCTGGAATGGGCCTCCAAGAACAGAAATCCCCAGGTGCACACACACCTGAATCCCCACGATCGCCACTGGGGGCTGGATATGAGGGAGTAGCCACCTTCAGGGCTTTCCCCTTCCCACGGCACACCCGCCCCTCCCGCCCTGTTCAGTCCATTCTGCCACCTGAGCCATGCCTGCTG